AAACATTCATTTACATAGTTTAATTGGCATCAACTTATGAAAATTTTAATTTCATCCTTTTTCATAATTAAGCTATGTAGAATCCATCAGAGAACATAAATATGAGCCATCTTATTCAGCACACAAGGGATAAAACTGAACAGAAATATTTTAAAAAGAAATCTGTGTGAAGATGAAGGTTTGTTATAAAGTCTTATTTAAAGTATATTTGAAATCTAAATGAGATAGCTGATAACAGTTCTTCCATCTTTGAAAAAATCATGAAGAACACAAAAGTATCTTTGAGGGAAATAACGAACCTGGATACAAAAGAGTCATTTTTTTTAAAGCTTTTAAAATTCAATTTCTCTCACCTACCATGTTCGCTTGTCTTTTTGAAGTCCATCTATAGCTCTCTGGTCTTCCCATGCCCAATCTAATTCCCACCACTTAAAAATAAGGAAAAGCCCCAACTTCATTCAATTTGAAGTTCAGGATTTTTTTAATTTTCAAGTTACCAAAACTCAAGAAAATAATAATAATGCCAAAGCTGGTGAAAGTGCAGGGAAGCCAAACTCTTGTGCATTATTGGAAAGAACGGTAGAAATTTGGTCACACATCCAAAAGCTTAAAGGAATGCATAATTCTTCCATTTAGTTGTCCTCTTTCTTGGAATTTATGCAATGAGATACCAGAAAATGAGAGAAAACAACTCTTTGTTCATAAAGATGTTTACTTCCATGTTATTTTCAAAGAAAAATGGAAATTATTGGTATGTCCAACATTAGGGGAGTTGAAGTTATGGTATATCAACACTTGCCATTTTAATAATTTCTTCTCCCTATCCCTTTTAGGCTTTAAAAATTTCATATGCTGTATTACATCTGTAATGCTATTTATATTTTACGATGCTGCGTTTGTTTTTTGTTGCTGAATTGTTTTACCTTTTGTCTCTTCAGCAAAGTCTTGGTTCTGGTTGATAGTGAAGAAAATTTTGTAAAGCAACCCAATTTAACAATGGAACTATGACTGTGGATACTGTCACCAAAGGCAAGGGAAGGGAGACTTTTTTTTTTTTTTTTGAGAAAATTGACCAGTGTCCTTTGAAGACTGGGGTGTCTCAAAGACTGCTGAGCTCTTAACCAGAACTGACAAGTGCTATTTCTAATGTCATAAGAAAGAGGTTCTCGTATTTATCACATACTACCAAGAAGTAGTAGAGAATTAGAGCAGCGTTGAACTTAGTGTTTCAAAAGAAAAAAAATCCTTAGGTATACCAAGCTGAGTGAACAAACAGGTGCTATAGACACAGGAACATGGATAGATTTGTGAATGCACCTTAAGAATGCTTCAGACTGCCAGGCCAGTTAGAGACAGACATTCCAGCCAGGGGAAATCATCATATTCAAAGGCACAGAGGTGTGAAAAGGCACGGCGCTTGGTTGTGCTAGAGTGTAAAGGGAAAATGGAAAATGAGAGATGAGGCATGAAAGAGGGTAAGGAGCAGATCACGGAAGGTCTTTTGTGCCACGTTGAGGAGCTAGAGATGAAGAGCCACCAGTGATTTCTCAGTCACAAGAGAGACAAGATCAGATGTGCTACTTAGAAATCTATCAGTGAGGGGCACCTGGGTGGCTCAGTCAGTTAAGCATCCGACTCTTGATTTCGGCTCCGGTCATGATCTCATGGTTCGTGGGACTGAGCCCCACATTGCGATCTACACTAACAACTGGGAGCCTGCCTTGAGATTCTCTCTCTCTCTCTCTCTGCTTCTCCCCCACTTGTGCTCTCTCTCTCTTTCTCTCTCAAAATAAACAAACAAACATTTAAAAAGAAATAAATCTATCAGGGATAAAGTAAAACTGGAAGCAGAGAAACCACATAAAGGTTGTTTGAATAGTCCTTGAAAGACATGGTAAGGCTTATTGTAGATCAGATGCATTTTCAAGGCTTGAATATACATGAAGCTAGATTCAGAAGAAGATTTAGTGTGCAAAATCCAGTGGGTAATAAAACCAAGAAAAAAATACACATTCGTGTTTCTAACCAAAAAGGACCAGGAATTAAAGAGCAATGGCCATGGCAATAAGAAATTTGTTAGCATTTGAAAACATGAAACCTTCCTCCATTTGTCTACTGTGGTGCTTAAAACATTTGTCCCTCAATTCTTTGATCCTTCTTCAAAAAGATGGAGTCTTAGTTCCCCACTCCACGAATTTGGCCAGTCTTGCCAACTCTAACAAATAAAATGCAGCAGAGATATCTGAGATTAGAACAAAAAAGGCAATACAGCTTCTATCTCTTTCCCCAGGGATGCGCTCTCTTGAAATCCAGCCACCACACTGCAAGGAAGACCCGGCTATGTGGAGAGACCACCGTTCCAGTCATGTGTTCTAACTATAGCTCAGCTGAGGTCCCATTGGACAACAAGCTGTAACCTTAAAACATGTGAGTGAAGAAGCCTGTGAGTTGACTCCAACCTCATCTACTACAAATGGATAAAAAACCCCAAACCAGAACTTCTCAGCTGACCTGTCAGCCCCAGAACCATGAAATGTAAGATAAAATATAATAAAATGATTTAAGCCACAAATTTTGGGGTTTATCTGTCATGTATCAGGAGAAAACCAGGATATATCCCCTATATGTTTCTTTTAAAATTTTAAAGGCCTCTGGACATGTCTTCAGGGACAGGATAGAATGTAGGGAATTGGCAGTTCTGAACCTCTCCTTATTAACTAAAAATCTCGAAGGCACAGAATGTCAATAGGAGCTTCCAAAAGATCTTAACACTAGAAAAGCTAAGACCTTAGTAATAGAAAGACACAAAGAACTTGCTTATCAATTTTCAAGTAATGCAAAGGAAGTAGGAATAACTAACGCCTTAGAGACTAATTTAGAATTCAATAGCAACCTGATCTTGGTTTAACAGAACAGATAATATGGTAGAAAATACTCCTGGTACAGACTACTTAAAAGGGCTGGCAAATAAAATATATACCTATAGGATTAGTTGCATTATATTCTTTTTTAAAAAAATGTGAAATTTATTGTCAAATTGGTTTCCATGCAACACCCAGTGCTCATCCCATCAGGTGCCCTCCTCAATGCCCATCACCCCCCCCCCTCCCTCCCACTCCCTATCAACCTTCAGTTTATTCTCAGTTTTTAAGAGTCTCTTATGGTTTGCCTCCTTTCCTCTCTGTTTGTAACTTTTTTCCCCTTCCCCTCCCCCACGGTCTTCTGTTAAGTTTCTCAGGATCCACATAAGAGTGAAAACATACGGTATCGGTCTTTCTCTGTATGACTTATTTCACTTTTGTTGCTACAAAAGGCCAGATTTCGTTCTTTCTCATTGCCATGTAGTATTCCACTGTGTATATTAACCACAATTTCTTTATCCATTCGTCAGTTGATGGACATTTAGGCTCTTTCCATAATTTGGCTATTGTTGAAAGTGCTGCTATAAACACTGGGGTGCAAGTGCCCCTATGCATCAGCACTCCTGTATCCCTTGGGTAAATTCCTAGCAGTGCTATTGAAAATAGATGTACCCTATGACCCAGCAGTTGCATTATATTCTGATAGAGGGTACCTAAATAGGTTGCTAGCTGCATGTATTCAGGGGATGGATGAATGAGCTGGCAAAAAAAGTGAACCAAGCCTTCAGGGGCCAAAAAGAAGCAAAAGGACGAATCTAAAGAGGACAAAATGCTAATGCCAGCAGCTGCCCTGAGGTTGTCTGCAGTCTGGGCTGCTTAGAGGTGTGGGTTTTACAGGAACAAAGATCGGGCCCAAGTAGAGAGCAGAGTTGGATAGGAGATTCCTTTAAAAGGCCTACTCCCTCAGGAGCTGTACTCATTATCGAAAGGGGGGGGGGGGGAAATCCAGCTTACAGAGAATTGCGGTGAGGTCATGTGCCCTTCTTACTCTTTTCTTTGGTGCTGGGTGTGGCAGGGTCTCCTCTGAGAACCTGGAAGTGTAAGCTAGTACTCAAGCAAAATTGGATCTCGAAATCACCCAACTGCTAAGAACTGCGGGTGCCTGCAGGCTCTTATGTCCTTGGAGCAGCTCTCTACCTTCTTACCACAGCCCTCAAGGGAGGGGACCGCCCTCTCCGACCTAGCCTCCGAGCTCAGTCCAGAGAAAGACCCACAAGCCTGGATCATGTTAGAAATTGGTTCTTTCTCCATTTTTTCTGTTCCCCCGTCCGTGGTCCAGGGAGGTTTTTCTCTTGTCCAAATACAATCCTACACTTCCACAGCCTCTATTTCTCCTCCTTTGTCTCTCCACAGAAGGGGACCCCTCCCCTCCGTGCCTGCGCCACCAGTTTTCTCTCTCCCAGGTCGCAATCACGCACCTATGGCCCACCAAGTTGTCCCTGTGGGTCCCTGGAGATGTTTCTGTCACTCTGTAGCCTGGATTCCCGGAATTCAAGCCTTCTGGCCTCAATACTGTTGTGTTTGAAAGACAAGGAAACTTCGGGTCCCCCTACTTCTCTGCCATGTTGACTCCTCCCTCTGAATGAAATTTTTAAATGCAGAATTAAAATACAACTTTGTCATTTTAAGTCTCAAAGAACAAAAGCAATGCAAATGGTTTTTGGCCAATATTCTTGAGTTTTAAAGTAACTTTTTCAAAATTTGTATGCTTTCTTTATACATACATACAATATATATATTATCCATCAGAATCCCATAGGAAACTTTCTGTTAAATGTTTCATTTTGAGAGAGAGAGAGAGAGAGAGAGCGAGAGAGAGAGAGGGAAACAAGTGGGGGAGGGGTAGAGAGAGAGAGAGAGGGAAACAGAGAATCTGAAGCAGGCTCCAGGCTGCAAGCTGTCAGCACAGAGCCCTACGCAGGGCTCGAACTCATGAGCTGTGAGATCATGACCTGAGCCGAAGTCGAACGCCTAAACCCACTGAGCCACCCAGGCACCCCAAAAACTTTCTGACAATAAACTTTGAAGTGTGACAACCACAAGAGCAAGACAATTTCTCATGGAGAAGAACAGTCTTACCTGGAGAACTACACATCAGTTGAAAAGGTTCTGGAGACTGAGTCGGATGCCTTTACATAAAGCAGAAAGAAAGCATTCTGTATATATAACTCCTTCTATCTGCCTTTCACCCAAACTCCTATTTTGCTTTGTTTTCTGGCAACACTATCTCCTGCTTTGCCTTTTTGAAATTTGCCCCTTGTAAGAGAGTAGATTGACGTTAGCACGGTGGGTGGGGCCCATGCTTGTTTGCATATTAGAATCCCCTGGAGAGGTTTTGCAACGTCAATGATCAGGCCAGAGGTCAGGCCAATTAAATTAGAATCCACAGAAGTGGGACCCACACATGAGTATTCATTTTTAAAGTTCTCCAAGTGATTCCAGTGTTCAGACAATGTTGAGACCTACTCTATTAGCAAACACCAGTAGTTCCCAAACTTTAGGCTGCATCAGAATCACCTAGCAGCTTTCTTAAAGAGATTGCTGGGCTCCACCTGCAGAAGTTTCTGACTCCGAAGGTCTGGAGTAGGGCTGAGAATTTGCATTTCTAACAAGTTTGCATGCGATACTGATGACCACACTGCGAGAACCACGGGAATGTCCCAATGTGTGTACTTTGGCCCATTTGGTTCTCAAATAGGGAGGCTTTAGGATAAAAACTGAGCTGCTTGGCGATGTTTTCGTTGTGAGGTGGATTGCCACACATACATCAAGTCAATTAATAAAAAATGGTTCCTTTCCTTGAGTTTCCATCCCCTACTTTTTAATAGGGTAAAATACTTCTTAATATTCCAGGCAGTCTCAGCCTAGAGCTCACTTATAACATATTATTATTATAGCCAAAGGAGATCCAGAAGCCTTTCCAAGGTTCCAACCACCCTGATAGAAACAGATTAGGAAAAAAAACAAGTCAAATCCACAACCCACATCACCACCTTTTTAGGGGGAAGAAAAAAAAAATATATATATATATTCACTTTCTTTTTATAATATTTATAACGAAAATCACAAAACCAAGTTTTTTAAAAGTTAATCTTGCCATTGTCAGTCAAGCCAGGACTCTGGGGTTGGAGCTGGACAAATCTACAATGCTCCAAGGAAAATCTCCTTCTCTGCCCGTCTCCCAGAGTATTTGGGAATGCCTTCTAAGGGAAAACTCAAGGTGCATCTGCTTTTCCCATCTGTCTCAAGGCTTGAGAGTCTTTTAGTGTTTTGGAGGTTTCATTATTGAAGAACAGTGGGAACAAAAAAATTAAGTTACTCCTACTAAATTTGTACATTCAATCTCAGCAACCTGGCCACATCCTTGAATCTATCTTCTTAAGCATTTCTGGCCTCAAGTTTCAGGTTCATGCAATTTCCCCCGTTTTGACAATCTGCAGGCTGTTTCAATATCAAACCCAATGATTAGAGTGCCAAGACCATTATTTTCTTTAAATTCAAAGGGAAGACTTCCCTTTTTTTTCACCTTTAAAGTTAGCATTTGCTGCCCACATTCTCAGTGTCTTCATTGCCTTTCACAGTCTTCTTTCAAGTTGGGAGTGAGAAGCTAATGAAATTCAGGAAGAACAACACAAATGCAATCTCATCCCTGAGGAAAAATGCAGTTCTTCATTTTGCGTAAGATTGAAAACCTCAACCCAGTTTCCTTGAAAATGTGCTTCCAGACCATCTTCATCATCACGCTCATTATATTGTGGATAAAATGAGAAAATATGTGTGAATTACCTGAAAGAGCTCAGAGCACTGCACAAGTAGAAGGGTTGTGGTTATTACTTTACCCAGACACAAGCTGCTGCTCAGGCATGGGATTCTCTTCCACAGTGATCCGAGGGTTTGCAAGTCTGGTCTGAGAGCAGCAACTAGTAACTGACCTGGCCCTTGCTTTGATACTACATAGAATTGAGGGGAGCCATTTGGAGACTTAAAACTAAGTACTGTTGCATGGTCTTTAGGCTGTCAGACTAATGGGATGCCAGAACTGATGGGATGTTGATCTCATATCCACCTGGGCTGAGCAAGGGGAATTTTTTAACTTAAGGCCTAATGCTAGCTGGCCTCACATTATAATAAACTTCCAAGGCAGGGGGGATCTAATTCAATGCTTTTAATTTACACGTGGGCCAAAGAAATCTAGAGTGTAAATTAACTTTCCCAGGGTTTCACAATGACCCAGGACCTAGCAGGAACTCTGTAACAGTCCTGAGGCAGCTTCATATGTAGAATCACCCTGTGTTTAGCTAAAACATACTGATCACAGGCCCAATGATTAGTAGATTGATTCTTTTAACACAATATTTATGGACGTACATAGGAAGCTGGTCTGCACAATGAAGATTTTGTTGACATATCTTTTGAAAAACAGTCTACAAAGTATTTCCATCTGTAGTAAAGTAGTCCTCATACCCATTAATAATTCACAACTCAGCTCAGCAAATGGAGCAGAGAATAAACCTGATCATTAGTGGAAACTAGTACTGTCAGCACTAATAAAGGTAATTAACATCAAAGTCTAAGTTTTTCACTTATCGAGTAATTTGCAAAGGATAAGTTTATGAGGAAATTAACCAGCCATCCCATAATTCTGTACTTTCGTTCCATTGTTTTAAACATCTTAATTGCCAGGAAAACTTAACCACGCACAATGAAAAAAAGAGGTTAGGAACTCAGGGAGTATGGTTCATGATTTTCCACAGCTTACTTTTTTCATTATAATACATTTTCCATTTTTAATTAAATGAATAAAATAGCTGTGTTGCCTGTGAGATTATATACAATTGCCAAATAAAGCTGCAGACATCTCTCTCCTTAATGTGCTTAGGGAAGACTATGCTGCCTTTTAAATAGACACATTTTCTTCACTTATCTTGTTTTGAATTTGTACAGGCTTATAAAATCACAACAGATGTTTCCTATGGGTACTGGGTACCAAATAAATTATACATCAGTTTCCCGTTGGTTTTCTTTCTGAGCAATCATCAAATTCTTTTGAGCTCAAAATTGGGTAAGGCAAAATCAACTCTATTTTCTATCTTCTCTATACTCCTAGAATGAAGGCCAATCCAATGACAGTAACCTGGGCATTCATAATTTAAAAAAAAATTTAAGGAAAAAACTGACTACATGCCCATTTCCCATTGCATCAAATCTTCGACACTGATACACCAATACCCCAACAAGCATTTACTTTGTAATTAGCACTATGAAGGCTAGAGAATAATGATGTATGGTCTCTAAATTCAGGAGACTACCACTGAAAGTAACCAAGTTAAACACAAGAGAAATGTATTAAAAGGAACAGTGGAGTTCCTCTCGGGAGTAAGGAAAACAATTCCAAGAGGTAGGGAATTAGTTATAAACAAGATGACCACTCAAGTTTCCTTAAGTCCTATGAATGAGATTTTATCCAACTAACCATTGTGGGAATTTGAAATATCAGACAAAAAAAATACCAATTTTCCACAGTGATACATGAGCTACAAGAAAGGTTTTGAAAGAGGTTCTGCTATGCCCATGCATCATTAAAATCTTCTGGTATAACGATCACACTTGGATAGAAGGAAGCAAGTGAGAAGGAGCCAAAAGTGAAGCCAAAAATGACTCTTCAGGAGGTCTGCTAATGATGATGCAAAGAAAGGAGTCTCAGGAACGACTGGTTGGTGTGAGCTTTAACACAGGGGTGGTTTCCCAGTGACAGTGAAAGCGCGATGGCAAGGCCACCTCTAGGTCCTGGGCCTCAGAGTAGTTATAATGAACAGCACCTGCATGGCTGTAGTTTCAAGGAGGAGAAAGGGTGACTGTGTAAGGAGTTTCAAGGAGGAGAAAGGGAGAAAGGGTGATTGAGGTAAAGTAGGGGACGCATCTTGGTGAGTGAGAAGCAGAGTTTCTGGAGATACAACTACGAGGCTACCAAATGCCCCTCCTCTGCAATTAGTAACTACCCAAGCCTAGAAAAGTGTTTCCCAATTTATAAACAGGTGAGGTTATTCCACAAACACAAGCTGAGAGTTGAAAACTTGTCTCAAATATGTCTTTATTAATTCTAGAGGCTTCAGTGTTTACCGTGTAGACCATATCTCCAAAATTGTTCACATCTTAGCCCAAGGAACACATACCCTTATTACTTTTCCACTTCACTGTTTGGGCAGATCCCCTCCCCAAATCTTAAGAGCCATCATCATTGTCATTCATTACTAAAAAGATGGTGATGATGTGAGAGCCTAGAAATCATCATTGTCGGCCTGACCCAGGTTTTGCAGGCATGGCTACAGCCTGTCTCTCTACCACTTGCGAAATTACTTGTCACTACTCAGTGCAATGTGTAAATTGTGGCAGCTGCACTTGGAGCAAAGACTCTCTTGCTGCTCATCATGAAAATTGTTTGTTCTGAAGCGTGTTCTGCAAGGCAGGTCTTTTCTAAAAGTGGCCCATTATTTCTTGAATTTTAACCATTTTGTTCTAACTTGTCAAAGGAGTAATAGGCCAAGTGTGGGTGTGTACAGAGATGACGACAACCCGGCCCCCTTCCCGTGTCCTTCCGTGCCCTGTCTAGCTCATGAACTGAGCTAACGGCCCAGATGGAAGCTTCTCCTAGGTTCCGACACATACCCAGGTTTGGGATCTACTGGCCCAGACATAATAGCTGAGCTTCCGTGCTGCCACTGGGGTTTCCTTGACCACCAACCATACCTGAGATATTACATCTTTCCCACCAAGCCCAACCCAGGACAATAGGTAAGCACACCTGTAACCTGATCCACAGCTTCCCTGCCATCGCTCTTATTCTCCTAGTGATCCAGTCTGCTTCAGTTGCCTGCCTTAGGTCACCCTCGCAACATCTGCCAGTCGAGAGCAGAAGACCCAGGCCAGGGAAAATACAGCATCTGCACCTGAGAGTGAATGCCTTCTTAAATGGTGCACCCTGAGCACCTCCCTTGCTTTACCCTAGCCCTGGCCCTGAGAAAACCCATCCTGATCTACAGCCCATTTGGCAGGACCTGGACATCCTGTGTATTGTTAGTGGTTGCTGTGTAACCACCTCCCAAATTCAGTGGCTTAAAATACCAACTGCTCGTTTATGATTGTGGAGATTGGCAGCTTTGGCTGGGTTCAGTTGGCCAGTTCTTCTGGTCTCAGCTGGGCTCCCTCACGGAACCTTGCTCAGCTGTAGGCGAGCCCTAGCTCTACTTAAGGGGGTGGCTGGCTATTACTAGACTGCCTGCAAAT